TAAAGTGTGTGCTGTTTATTCATCGTTGAATTTATCGCTAACAAGTCACAGACACCTACTGTAGAAGAATCCTAAGTCAAAATATAACAATTGGCAAGCCACAGCCAGGATTATACAGTGGTAAACGACGATAGAAGAAAACATGAACGACAGCGGAAATAAGTAGGCCTATCTGTATACGCACAACTGTAGTAGTAACGAAAATAGTATAGAGATTAAAATTAGGCTATATAACCATGTCAACAGATTTTGATAAAAGGGGTAGAAAGAGGATCTCAATTTGGGTTAAAAGACAGTGAATTACGAGAGTTTTTGTTAAACAACAACAAGTACTGGATAGAGAAGAACGGCAACAGAAGAGACAAATTGAGAAAGGAGAAGCTAGAAATAGAGAGAATGAAAATACAAATTGAGAAAGAGGAGAGATTAGAAATAAGGAGCATAAGAGCACAAATTGAGGTAGCAAAACTCACCCAACCGAAGGAAGAAGGACCCAAGAATGACAATATGAACTTACTGAAGAAGGTTTTTGCCGGAAGTTCAGAGGAGTCAAATCTGACATTGGAGAAACTGTATTTCTGTTTGTTGCACGTCTTGGTGATATTTTACCAGATGGACTGACATGGCCATGTGTGAAAATACTTTTGAGGGACTGGTAGACCTATTAGTATGTGAACAGTTCATGTTCACGTGTTCAACTGACATGTAACTGTTTTTAAAGTAGAGAGCACCAAAAGATAGACAAGATGATCAAGCTGGCTGAACAGTATATGGAAGTAGTATAACTGGCAAGTCCAAGAATGTCCAAATAAATGTGAAACCAGTAATGGCTGACCAGAAGCAGGAGTTTACCAAAGGTGACAGGACGTTAATAGACAGAAGAGATGTTATGTTTGTTATAAAATGGGGCACGTTGCAAAGGAGTGCAAGTCCATTACCAACAAACAACAGCACAAACCTCAACATAAAGCAGCTGGAGCCATTTACAAAGACAGTGCTGGTAAGAAACAAGAAAAGAGTGACTGGTATTATGGATTCTGCTGCCAGAAGAAAGAGAATCAAGACTACTTGTCAAATTGAATACATAGAGCATGA